CCCCCCACCCCCACCCTCCGCTCCCAGCTCTGACCGCCCCTCCTCTTCCACAGGTGCCGGTGCTGAAGCCCATGGACCTAATGGTGGAGGTGAGCCCGCGGAGGGTCTTTGCCAATGGCCACACCTACCACATCAACTCCATCTCTGTCAACAGCGACTGTGAGACGTACATGTCGGCAGACGACCTGCGTATCAACCTCTGGCACCTGGCCATCACCGACCGGAGCTTCAGTATCCTTTCCTGCTGCGGCCCTGCTGCCGACTCAGCGGGCTGGGCGCCCCAGGTCAGGCATCAGTTGGCCTGTTGTAAGCGAGCTGGCTGGGGGCTGCCACTTTGTTCCATCCCTTCAGCCGGGTGCCTCCTGGCTCACAGTGTGGGCATCATGATGAGTTTATTTATGAAAACTTTAAAACTGTGGTCACTGAGGGTTACCTTTGACCCTTGACCTCCTCCAGGGGTGACCCCCATCATCTGGGGCCTCACAGGGAACCCAGAAGGAGATGGAGACCTGGGTAGGCCTCCACAGTGATGGTGAGCTGAACCACCAGCAGATCAGGCCTCGCAATCCCAGAGTAAAGTCCAGCAGAAAAGAGACAGCTCTTGCTGAACTGTCCCACCAAGCTCCCCGGTGGTACCCCACGGGCTCTGATTGGGCCTCAGGGACACCCCTGAACCCATTACTGTTGGGGATGCAGTGCTCTGGTTGGCCAGGCCCCTCCCTCGTGCCGGAGGGGTCAGCTCCACCCCAGGATAGTGTCTGAATGTGGGAAGGAGTGGTCTCCTGGGGAAAATCATGCGGTGCTTCAGGAACTGGGGGCCCCTGAGATGGGTGGCACGGACCTGCCTGACCTGCTTCCCAGCAGAAAAAGATGAGGCACCACACAGGAGCCCTGGGTCTGCAAATGGGGCAGGTGTGGGACTCACGGGACTGCGGCTGGCTGATCTCAGCTTTCTGCGCAACACACTACAGTTTACAAAGTGGCTTTTCATTCACAGCCTCATTTGGTGTTCATGGTGGACATAAAAGCTACAAAGCAGTAGCAGTGATATCATAGCCCATTTTATAGATGAAGAAATGCGTGCTTGGAAAGACGCCCTGGCAGGGACAGAGTCCCGTGGCCTGGCCCAGTGCTCTTTGCCCTGCCCTCAGGCCGCGGTCTTGGGACAGTGACTTCCTCCTCCTGGAGCCCGGGTTTCCTTAACCTAGGACTAGGGTGGGGATGGTAACCTCTGCCCGATCTATCTCCCTGGGCTGTTGTGAGGATTCCATGACACCATGAATGCCAAGGCCCTTTAAAAATTACAAAGCCCTGCAGCTGTGTAAGGGGTTGTTTTTCATTTCATTCATTTAACCATCAATTCCTCTTCCATCCCAGGCCCCATACTGAGGTCCAGGGACACAAGGGTGAATGAAAGAAACTCGGCTTCTTTCTCAAGGGCACCTCTGGGGGACACAACCCTGACCTGGGTGGTATCAGAGATGCAAGCCTTGCTTATAACTCAGGTCTGCACACTGCCTGGGCTACCAGGGAGGACTGAGGAGGGGGCAGGGTTAGGATGCTTCCAGTAGCTTGAGGAGGCCGCTGAAGGGTCCAGGGTGGATGGTGGCGGCGGGGGGGGTGTAGGTGTGCATGATGAAACAGGAAAGTGGGAGGTCAGGGCAGCTGCATCAGGCCTGGGTGATGGTGTGAGTAGGGGACATCCTCCCGGGGACCCCTGTCTCCAAACATTGGTCATTCACAAACCCCTTTTGCAACTGTGACTCTGTCTGTACACTGTGCATTATTTCATTTTCTTTTCTCATTTTTATTAATTTTCTTTAAATTAAGTGGCTTTAATTTTACCTAAATTAGTGCATTTGGAAAAGAACATTAATTTTACTACCACATATGAAAATAAAATGTATCAATACACGTAAGTCAGAGGAGCCATAGAGATAAATGCCATGAAAACAAAACAAGGGGAATAAAATCCATCCCACGCCCTGTCTGGTATATCTTTTCATGAAGACAGAAAAGTTCTCTATTTGCATTTGTAGGATGGTAGCTGCAAGTCACATGTGCCTGTGGAGTACCTAAAATGTGTCTAGGGTGACTGAGGAGCAGAATTTCTTATTTAATTTAGTTTGAAAGGATTCATACTTTGAGTTAAATAGTCACATGTGCAGACTTTATAAATGTGTGTGTTAGATGAGGCTGGTTCTTTCTGTCGGACGTGGGGATGAAGAAGTGATTCCTCATCAGGTGTTAGAGATATGATTGCACAAATAGACACCTTCTCCCTCACTCAGCAAAAAGACTGGAAAGTAATTGAAAGCCTTGCTTGGTGTCTGGATCTATGTTCTGAAAACTGTCCACCTCCTAACTGCTGTCAGGTTATAAGAAGCTACTGATGTACCCTAAGGAGAGGAAGGGGCTTCCCTGGTGACTCAGGCAGTAAAGAATCCACCTGCAATGCAGGAGACCTGGGTTTGATCCCTGGATCAGAAGGATCCCCCGGAGAAGGGAATGGCAACCCACTCCAGTATTCTTGCCTGGAGAATCCCATGAACAGAGGAACCTGGTAGGCTACAGTCCATGGGGTCACAAGGAGTCAGACACAACTGAGCGACTAATACTTTCACATCACTTTTCACTTCAAGCAGGGCATTAATATTAGTCAGCTTTCAGAGGGGTACCTGAGGCTGTGGGTGTATGTTGTGGATGGACTGGATTCTAGCAGATAAGTCTGGAAGCCAGGAAACTGAGTAGACGAGGGAGACACGGACCTGGGTAGGGTAGAGTGTGGCCGTGGGCAAGAAGCCGTGAGATAGATCGATAGTCAAAATGATATTTGTAGATATGGGCCTGTGTCAGAACTGTCTTTTGGACCAAGGTGGCCACAGGACATTGGAACATGTTAGTTGTTATTAAGAAAAGAGGACTGATCCATCCCAGGCCCACAGGCAGACCTGCCCAGTCATTACTGCCAGCTTTCTGTGCCCTGTCCACTCATTGGAGAGCATGCCATTCACTAGTACACTTATTGAGCCCCTACTATTTGCTGGGCCCTGTGTTGTTGTTGTTCAGTCGCTCAGTTGTGTCTGGCTCTTTGCGACCCCATGAATCTGCAGCATACACAGCCTCCCTGTCCATCACCAGCTCCCGGAATTTACTCAAATTCATATCCATTGAGTTGGTAATGCCATCCAACCATCTCATCCTCTGTTGTCCCCTTCTCCTCCTGCCCTCAATCTTTCCCAGCATCAGGGTCTTTTCCAGTGAGTTGGCTCTTCCCATCAGGTGGCCAAAGTATTGGAGCTTCAGCTTCAGCATCAGTCCTTCCAGTGAATTTTCCAGGTTGATTTCCTTTTGGATTGATGGTTTGATCTCCTTGCGGTCTGAGAGACTCTCAAGAGTCTTCTCCAAAAAAAAAAAAAAAAGTCTTCTCCAGCACCGCAGTTTGAAAGCATTGATTCTTCAGCACTCAGCCTTCTTTACGGTCCAACATCCATACATGACCACTGGAAAAACCATAGCTTTGACTAGACAGACCGTTGTTGGCAAAGTGATGTCTCTGCTTTTTAATATGCTATCTAGGTTTGTCATAGCTTTTCTTCCAAGGAGCAAGGGTCTTTTAATTTCCTGACTGCAGTCACCATCTGCAGGGATTTTGGAGCCCCCCAAAAAATAAACGTATAGGCTAGGCTCTGTACCCATTGCTCAAATTAGGGAGATAAAGATCCATGTCCCCCTGGAATGGACATATAATTTAATGTTGATAAACTGTTAATACAATAAACAAGCAAATATCCAGTACATGAGCAGGTGGTAAGTGCTGTGAGGAATGAGAGGGACCAGCGAGCAAGGCAGTGTGAGTTTTTCTCCAGCTCCATTTTCCTTCATGTCGGCAGATGCAGAGTGGATGGAGAGGGAGCCAGGGTGGTGTGTTTGCAAAATGAAGATGCATACGTGGGGCTGATGGTATAGGCAAGAGAGTGAAAATAATGGTTGGTCCCAGAATCTCATCCAGGGGAGGAGGTGATGGCTGGAGCTTCAGTGGATTGGGGGTCCCCATGGGTGCCCAGAGAGACTTCCTTGGCTGCAGATCCTGTGCATAGACCCTAATTTTGTGAAAATGAATTGTTAGTTGATCCAAATGTACAAGTGTTTTGGCCCTTAGGGGAGTATGAGCATTTTAGCATGCTGGTGATGCCAGGGCCGGGCTCAAGGCAACCCTTGTCTGTAGGACCTAAGGACCAATTAGGCAGCCAGAAGGAGCTGAGTGGAATCTCCAGGGCATGTGGTGGCTGTGGAAACGTCCCTTGATTAGATCAGCTCATCAGGGACCGAGGTTGCACAGGGTACTCCCCATGGCCTGCTGCTGCTTCGCTACCAGAATGACGAGACACAGGGACCCCGAGCAGAGAGGCCTGGCACCGTCCCGTGGCGTCCAGCCTCCCCCTCGCAAGAAAGGTGTCAGGACTGTGGCTTGTAGGCGTGATGACGAGTCTGATAGTAGCTGAGTAATTAGAAAAGGCGTTTCATTTCCAACGTAGGAGGAGGCCAGAAAAGCTGCTGTGACTCCACGCTGAGCTGGGGAATTGCTCTGAATTTTAAAACACCTTTTGAACGAGTACTTCCTGGTGGACTCGGGACCTGGGGGTTCACATTCCTTTAACTCTTACCCTTCAGAGTCTTGATTTGCTCTGATGCTGCTGTTCGGTCCCCCAGGCCACTGGGAGCTTTCTGCTGTGTTACCATCTCCTTGTGTCCAAACAGTAACACTTTCTGTGCCTGCATGCTAAGGCACTTCAGCCACGTCCAACCCTTTGTGACCCCATGGACTGTAGCCCGCCAGGCTCCTCTGTCCATGGGATTCTCCAAGCAAGAATACTGGAGTGGGTTGCTATTTCCTCCTCCAGGGGATCTTCCTGATCTTGGGATCGAACCCACATCTCTTGTGTCTCCTGCACTGGGAGTCTGGTTCTTAACACTTTCTACTTAGGTAGAATTGATTTTTAGCAAAGGTTTTAAGGGAGAAGAAAATCTTTTTAATAAAGGAGAAAAAGTGGGCATTTTTTGACCAGTAAGAAGAGTGATAGAGTGGATTCAGAGGACCTTTCCTCTTGTAATTCTAGAATTGGATGCTCTGAACAGAGGGAGGGGAGGCTGGCACTTCCTGAGCCTCCGCCGTGTGCCAGGCACATACAGGGTGCTGCGCCTTCATCTGTCACCAAGGCCCCAGCCTCCTTCCCCTCTCCACCCACAACATGGAAAGAAGTGCCAGGCCCCTTCTATTCTCCCCCAATGATTCTGGAATCTGGCCCTCCTCACACTGAACAAGGCTCAGCTCAGGCTGCACCATACCTTCCTGGACTGTTGCCTGAATTCCACCTTGCCCGCATGCCCAGCGAGAACGGTTCATCACCACCTCTGGTCTGACCACATCAGTCCTCTTGGGAAAGCTCTCAGTGGCAAAGCCATCTCCTGGTAAAACTGTCAGCTTCTGGAGAATGTCCAAATCCCCCCCA